CCAGTGAGAGAATATAACGGAGGCATGCACGAGGAGTCCTTCGTCTCTGAGCAAGAGGCTATCAACCCCAGTGTTAACAGCGACTTACTTATAATAGTGGGAACTACCACCAGTGGAGCCGCGTACATACAGATGCTCACAATGACACAACAGTTACCCAGAGTGGCAACTATAGAGGGAGTCAGAGACGCGACAAACATCTGAAAGTAGAGCAAAATGCGGAGCCTAGAATTGAACCTTGGACTTATCTATCACCGTGACGATGTAGAGAGCCAACACTGTTCCGCATAGGGTAGAAGTCGACTTCTTGGTCTCCACGAATTTCAAAAACACCTGCGATTAAATATAAGTCCCAACGTTCAGCTCACACCGAAGTCACTTACACTCATGTAGAAAATTTGGAAAACCAGTGCGATGGTGTTAACGACCAAGATACATGTCCGACCAGGGACCATAAGAGCATACGTAACCCAAAGTAAGGAGAGTAAGGACGTCGTACAGTAGGGCATAGGTGAGAGGTTCCCCGTACTCTTCCTCCTCGACACTTCTATGAATGTCGGGATACAGGAGAGATACTGTATCACAGAGAGGACCGATCCGACCGTGCCCAGTATAGGCGCTATGGATTCCAATGACAACAGCTCCATGGTAGGAAACGAGGTCACACCAGTGAGGGCTTCCATAACTCCCCGATCACCCGAGGGAACAACAACAACAAGAGTTGCCTACAGAGATAAGTCCCATCTTGTAAGACGTACACTGTACTATGGAATTCCTAGTGACGATGCAACCAACTACACACGGATGGTGAAACCAATTTTCCCAAACCCCCGATCGATGCAACACAAAACACTGTCTCCAACTCGTCACTCGATCACTTAGCTATGGTGCTCATGCTATAATCATGAATACTAAGAAACCCAAGAGTAAACTGTAATAAGGATGCACCGTCGAAGAACGCAATGAATGTATCGACACAGCACGATAATCTCGGTGGGATACCTAAACAA